TCCCCTTCCCCTTTCCTTCCCTTCCCTTCATTTTCTGTGATACTGGGTATTGAATCCAGGCCCTTCAAACTAAGCTATATCCCCAGCCCCTTTTAATTTTTTATTTTGAGACAGTCTCGCTAAATTGATGAGTTGCCCAGTCTGGGCTCAAGCTTGCAATCCTCTTGCCTCAGCCTCCCAGAGTACTGGAATTATAAAAGTTTTCCTTTTCTTAAAGGGGGCAGAAACCTACACATTTCTTATCACAGCTCTGTGCCCAGCTGGACCAAGAGAACCCTCTTCCCAGGAAGCAGCTCAAAGATCCTGAGCTAACGGGAGCAGCCAGCAGGCCTGGGAGATTAAGTGAACCAGGGCATCAGTTACCTGATGCTTCACGTTAGCACAATTCAGGGACCACCGAGGGGTGAAAGCAATGCTCCTTGCTGCCCACTCCTCCATCAGCTACTCTCATGGCAGAACATTTTGCCAAACAGCAAAACAGCCAGTGTTTCGGTGGGCGAAGCCCTGTTTTCAATCCTGCATTCCTTTCAGTCTTTCCAAACAGCGAACCAGGCCCGGTGAAATCTGACGGCACAGATATTTTCTTGTCAAACCACGGGTTTCATCTGAAACTGATGAAGCCACTCTGATACAAGATCCTCCACAGTAATCCCAGCACTCGGGAGGCTGAGGCAGGAGGATCGTTGCGAGTTCGAGGCCAGCCTGAACTGCATAGTGAGACCTGTCTCAGGAAAACAAAAACCCAAACCAAACTTGTACCAAGGATTGCTTCTGGGCTGGAGGGGTGAGGAAGGAGAACTTCTGATTTATTTCTGGATTTTTAACTTTTTACAATCAGAATGTGTGCTACACAGGTAGAAAGATTTATACAATCTGAAGAGAAATCGGAGTATAGTAGGGTGGTGAAGACAGGACGTAGCAGGCAGCTTGGCTGGGTGCTGGGTCTCATCCTGTTTGTTCTTTCTCAACTGTGTGGTCTTGGGGCACTTACTAAACCTCTTTGTGCTTCGGCTTCTACAACCGGAATACGGAGCGGAAACCTTGCTTGTACACACCTCAGAGGGAAACTATAATAAGGAATAAATAAATGTGCACAAAGAACCTGGAGCAGTGTGCAGCTAAAGCCTAAGCTCTTACTGGGGTGCGATCACCCACAAAAGGCACGAACACTGGTTCTGGGGGAACAAAGTGAAAAATCCTAGATATTACAAAAGTGTGTGGTCCAAAAGATGACACAGAAAGATTCCTTAGGAGGGTGATGCAGAGGGAAGTTTTGAAAAACACTATTTACTATCTTTTATCGTTTCAAAACACAAAGTGATGTTCATAATGATTTCCTCCCTGTGGCAGGACTAAGGATGATTTTTGTTTCCTTTTCCTTAGCAGGGAATAAGAGGTGGAAAAGAGACGTGTTTGTGGGTTGATTTCACAAGGAGAAAGTGAAAGGTTGGGTTCTGTCCTTTGAGTTCTCGGCAGGGTTTGCGCCCAACAGTGGCTTAAACTTTCTACCAAGACCGGTCTTCCTTTTGTGGACTGCGGTCTCCATTGTGTCCCCCTGGGCTCTGTGAAAACACAGCCCCAGCTGGCCACTGTTTATCTCGTGCCTGGTTTGTTGACCCTGGACGGCACTGGGGTTATATTTAGCATGGTGTTCTTTGCCTTGCAAATATAAGGAAAGAAGCTAATATTGTGCTTAGAAGATTTGGACTGCACAGTTTCCAACATGTCCCTAAGATGGAGCTGAACTCACTCCAGGCCCCAGGTTGACGTCCAGGCCCCAGATTGGACCTCATTTTCATGACTCACGGTCCAGGGAGCCCTAGGGACAAGGGACAAGACATGGATCCTGCGTCTGGGTTCTTAAGGCAGATCCTTTGCCAGTTAAGAGAGTGACCCACCTGTTGTCACCTGGGGAGGTTCCCAGCAGACCTGCACACTGCTCTTCATGCTAAAATCCTGAGTCAAGGACCCACCTATGAAAACGATCAGAGAGAGGCAATGTTCTAACAAAGCTGTGAGTGCTTCAATCTCATGATGTGTCACTGGGGAGGCCAGTGGGTTAGGGGGGGCCCCAGAAAGAGGGGGAGCTGAGTAAGTGGATGCATGAGAGGTGGCACAGAAGGAGCCCAAACTCTGCACATGAGGGCAGCAGATGAGCGGGGGTATGGCTCAGTGGTACAAGCACCTGCCTGGCAAGTGCAAGGTCCTGAGTTCAAATTCCGGTACCAAAAAAAAAAAAAAAAAAGGGAAAGATACGTCTTGGTGACAATGTCCTCCATCCAGCCCCTCTTGTGGCTCTGTCCAGCAGAAAGGCAGAAACAGTGCTTGGTTCCTGGACGAGAAATGCATAACCTTGACAGCCAAAGCATAACGGACCAGCCAGGAACAGAACAGCGCAGGTTGATCTGACCTGCCAGCCCAGAAGCAAAAAGCCTCAACAAAATACCAGCCGGTGGAATCCAACTTTTTGTTTTAAGAGAATACACCAGCGATTGAACTGGGTTGATCTCAAGAACACAGAGCTGGCTGAACATGAGGGACTCAAACACCACCTCACAAGAGAAATGGGCCACAACAGTGTCACCCCGTGGAGGACTTTGCAGTGATGAGGGTACATACGAGGCAGGTCTGACACATGTTAACAAGGCCTGGGAAAGCAAGCTGCAGAACACAGCCAGTGTGCTGGCCCCTCTGTGAGTTCAGAGCGAGGCTACGCTCTACAGAGCGGTGCTGTCGTCCTGATTATTAGGAGGAAGGGCAAAGGTTATGCCCTAAACTACAGGCTAATCACTGCCACCTGCAAGAAGGAAGCACAGCCCTGGGGTGAGGGCTGAGAGATATTTGGGTGCTGCCTTATTATATTAGTCCTTGAAAGTCACATAGAGCCAATATATACTCTTTTGATTGGCTGAAATATTTCAAACTAAGAATTTCCCCAAACCCATTCCTTACTCTTAGCATGCAAAGCAAACTCCTCTGTCACAGCATTCAAGCCCTCCAGCTTGGACAGGGCTCCTGTCTCTTTCTCCTAGTTTATCTGCTAGCTCAGTGGCTTCAGTTCTATTTTGCCATACTACACACTTCCTGCCACGGGGCCTTTGCACTTGCCATCCCCGCTGCTTGCAAATGCACTTCTGCTGTCTTTTGTCTGACTGCTTCTTTTGCTACCTGGGTCTCAGCTCATGATCACCCCATCACTGTGCAAAATGTCCCCCTGCTGCTCAGTCAGTCCCTTGGTGGCATCCTCCCTGCAGATGGGTTACATTGTGTCACCATCTATGATTAGGTCTGTTTTGCTTGTGGTTCCCTGGCTCCTGTGTGGGAGCACAGATTCCCTGAAAGAAGGTTCTTGTCATCTGCTGTCTCCCTTTGCTGAACGCTGCCCCCCAGCACCCTGCGCCTGGAATTTAACAAGTATCTAATAAATATTTGTAAAATGAAGGCGTGCCTGGTGAGTTTAAATGTCTAACTGACATTCCCTGTCACTGGCAGGAAGTTCTCCATTAAGGTGGGCATCAAGGGGAGACGGGCGGTGACAGCAAACTCTCAGAGGTCCTGGATACCTGAATCTTAAATCTGCATGTGAACGATTTCCTGGCCACACGGAAAGGTGTACAGAATAAACGCGACTTCCACTGGAACAGATGGCAATCACATCACTATTCCCTGGTGGGGTCTGAGGTTTCAGGGGACCCCAGGCCCCTTCCCACCTGGCTGGCGGCTCCCCATCCCTGCACTTGGTCACATGCTTGGCCAGGGTGGCAGGGAGGGCTGCGCCCAGGCTAGGAAGTTCCGGCTCTGGGTACCAAGCGCTCTGCCCCGTGGGTCCCAAGCGGGATGGTGGCTGCAGGTCCAATCTGGGTCTTTGTGAATTTGAGCGAATACGATCAGCACTCAGGGCTGGGGTGGTCGCTCAATAGTAGAGCGCGTGCCTGGTGTGCTTGAGTTCCTGGGCTCCATCGCCAGCACGGAAACACACGAACAAAAGCACAAATAATAAAAGCAGAGCCGCCGGGCTGAACAGCAGCCGAGGGCCAAGTGCTGCTGGCCGTGCGTTCCGCGGCTGCTTCCACCCCTGAATCACAAGAACTGCAGAATATGGTTTAGAAACCAGGATCCGAGCTGGACCCTCTCGGGGTAGAGACCCAGAAGCAT